AGTGAGGCGAGATTTTGCCACTGCACTTCAGCTTGGCCACAGAGCAAGACTCCGACTCCGTCTCAAAAAAAAAAAAAAAAAAAAAAATTAGCCTGGCATGGTGGCGCATATCTGAGATCCCAGCTAGTTGGGAGGCTTAGGTGAGAAGATTGTTTGAGCCCAGGGAGGTAGAGGCTGCAGTGAGCCGAGATGGTGCCACTGCACTCCAGCCGGGTGACAAAGACCCTGTCTCAACCCCCAAAGGGGCTGTTCTCACCCACCTCCCCAGCTATCTCCAATGATGGCCTCATGATTACAGCTGAAATGAATCAGGAACATGTGGACCACATTTGAAGTGGGTTAAAAGTGAGAAAGCAAGGTTGGCTATGGTGGCTCACGCCTGTAATCCCAGCACTTTGGGAGGCAGGTGGATCACCGACGTCAGGCATTCAAGACCAGCCTGGTCAACACGGTGAAACCCTGTCTCTACTAAAAATACAAAGATTAGACAGGTGTGGTGGCGTGGGCTTTTAATCTCGGCTACTCAAGAGGCTGAGGCAGGAGAATCACTTGAACCTGAGAGAGGGAGGTTGCAGTGGACCAAGATCATGCCACTGCACTCCAGCCTGGGTGTCAGAGTGAGATTCTGCCTCCAAAAAAGAAAAAAAAAAAGCTGGGCATGATGGCCTGCACCTGTGTGTGGTCCCAGCTGTTCAAGAAGCTGAGGTGGAGGATCACTTGATCTCAGAAGGTCAAGACTACAGTGAGCCAAGATCACACCACTGATCTCCAGCCAGGCGACAGAGTGAGACTCTGTCTCACAAAAGAAAAAAGCCAAAAAGCATGACAGGCCATTTGCTTTTTCGAAGATCCCAAGTGAGGCTGGGCAAGGTGGCTCACGCCTGTAATCTCAACACTTCAGGAGGCCGAGGCGGGTGTATTACGAAGGTCAGGAGTTCGAGGCCAGCCTGGATAACGTGGCGAAACACAGTCTCTGCTAAAATACAAAAATTAGCCAAGTGTGGTTGCGGGTACTTGTAATCCCAGCTACTTGGGAGGCTGAGCCAGGAGAATTGCTTGCACCCAGGAGGCAAAGGTTTCAGTGAGCCGAGATCCCACTAGTATCAAAAGAAAGAAAAAAAGGTCCCAAATGATTAAACAAGAATCAATTTATTTGAGGCTGGAAGTCCCGTACTGACAATTTTTGATTCATTCATTCATGAATTCCCATGACATACCTGTGGGGGCCATCATTATCCCAAATTTACACACAAAGATGAGAAGGCCAGAGAGGGTGAGTGAGCTTCCCACAGTCACACAACTTCTAGCTAGCACAGCCCCGGCCTGGTCTCACCGTGTGCATTCTTTCAGTTACACCATTTTACAGGGACATAGCCAAAACTCACCATTAAAGTACACATAATCCCAGCTAACGCCTGTAATCCCAGCACTTTGGGAGGCCAAAGCAGGCAGATCACCCAAAGTGAGGAGTTGGAGACCAGCCTGGCCAACATGGTGAAATCTTGTCTCTACTAAAAATATGAAAATAAGCCAGGCCTGGTGGTGCCCATCTTTAGTCCCGGCTACTCTGGAGGCTGAGGAAGAATCGCTTGAACCTGGGAGGTGGAGGTTGCAGTGAGCTGAGATCGTGCCACTGCACTCCAGCGTGGGTGACAAGACTGAAACTCTGTCTCAAAAGAAAGAATGGCCTGTAATCCCAGCACTTTGGGAGGCCGAGGTGGGAAGATCACGAGGTCAAGAGATCGAGACCATCCTGGTCAACATGGTGAAACCCCATCTCTACTAAAAATACAAAAATTAGCTGGGCATGGTGGCGCGTGCCTGTAATCCCAGCTACTCAGGAGGCTGAGGCAGGAGAATTGCTTGAACCCAGGAGGCGGAGGTTGCGGTGAGCCGAGATCGCACCATTGCACTCCAGCCTGGGTAACGAGTGAAACTCCGTCTCAAAAAAAAAAAGAGAAGCCAAGGGGTGCAGTGGCTCAAGCCTGTAATCCCAACATTTTGGGAGGCCAAGGTGAGAGGATCACTTGAGGCTAGGAGTTTGAGACCAGCCTAGGCAACATAGCAAGATCCCCATCTTTATAAAAAATTTTAAAATGAGGCAGTCGTGGTGTTCACCTGTAGGACCAGCTCTTTGGAAGGCTGAGGTAGGAGGATAGCTTGAGCCTGGGAGGTCGAGGCTGCAGTGAGTCATGATTGTAGCGCCCCTGCACTCCAGCCAGGCAAGGGTAAGACCCTGTTTCAGAAACAGGAGTGGGAGAGAGGAGACAGGCCAGGGAAGTCTCAGGAACCGGAACCTGGGTTCTGAGAATGCTGGGAGGTCTGTGGCATTGATTCATTCATTCATTTCACTTACCACATATGGCTGCCCCATTTAGACCGAGTGTCTACTGTGTGCCAGCCCTTTTGCTGGGTCCTCCAGGCCCGGCTGGAGGAGACGGACATGAAATAAACGGGCTCCTTCACAGCGTGGATCCGGACAGAGGGGGGACCCGACGTACTGTCAAAGGATAGCAGGGGTAGTTGCTAGAGCTTCTCCAAGGAGTCGCATTCCACGTGAGGCTGTCGGAACACAGGGGTGCAGGGAGGACTGTCTGCCTCTCACACTGCCGCAAGAGCTGCAACATTGGTCTCCCAGAGCTCAGTGCCACCCTCACAACGCTGCCACTCAGCCTTCCCATTCCGGCAGAATTCTCCTCCATTTTTCTCTGCGTTCCTCTCTGGCTTGAATACCACAGGACTGTCATAGGAGATGATGAAATCTTTCTCCCAATCTTATCACATCTAGCTTAGCCTTTAGGGTTTGGTCTTCCCTCACCATCTAGCCAGAGAAGGTGTCTTTCCCTCAGACACTGCCACATACTACCGTTGCTGTCTTTTTTTTTTTTTTTCCCCTAAGATGGGAGTCTGGCTCTGTCGCCAGGCTGGAGTGCAATAGCATCATCTTAGCTCTCTGTAACCTCCACCTCCCAGGTTCAGGTGATTCTCCTGCCTCAGCCTCCAGAGTAGCTGGGACTAAAGACGTGCACCACCAAGCCCAGCTTATTTTTGTATTTTAGTAGAGACAGGGTTTTGCCATGTTGGCCAGGCTGATCTCGAATTCCTAACTTCAGGTGATCTGCCTGCCTCAGCCTCCCGAAGTAGTGGGATTACAGGCGTAAGCCACCGCGCCCGACCTGATCACAGCTTCTTACAGCCTCAACCTCCCCAGGTGCAAGCAATCCTTCTGCCTCAGCTCCCCAATCAGCTGGGACTGCAGGTGCATGCCACTATGCCGATTTTTGTATTTTTTGTAGAGATGGGGTTTTGCCATGTTGCCTGGGCTGGTCTCCAACTCCTGGGCTGAAGTGATCCACTTGCCAAAGCCTCCCAAACTACTGGGATTTCTTTCTTTCTTTTTCTTTTTTTTTTTTTAGACAGAGTTTCTGTCACCCAGGCTGGAGTGCAATGGCGCAATCTCGGCTCACTGCAACCTCCGCCTCCTGGGTTCAAGTGATTCTCCTGCCTCAGCCTCCTGAGTAGCTGGGATTACAGGCGCGTGCCACTGCACCCAGCTAATTTTTGTATTTTGTTAGTAGAGACGGGGTTTCAACATTTTGGCCAGGCTGGTCTCGAACTCCTGACCTTGTGATCCACCTGCCTCGGCCTCCCAAAGTGTTGGGATTACAGGCGTCAGCCACCGAGCCCGGCCAGGATTTCATTTAATATTACTATTTTAAGACAGTCTTGTTCTGTCAGACAGGCTAGAGTGCAGTGGGGCAATCACAGCCCACTGAAGCCTCGACCTCCTGGGCTCAAGCAATCCTCCTGGCTCAGCCTCCCAAGTAGCTGGGGCCGCGGGGATGCACCACCACACCCTAATTGTATTTTTTGTAGAGATAGGGTCTCACTCTGTTGCTCAGGCTGGTCTCGAACTCCTGGGCTCAACCGAGTGTCCTCCTGCTTCAGCCTCCCGAAGTGCTGGGATTACAATGTCCCCGCCCTACATCCTACCTCATAACATCTGAAATCATCAGAGGGCTGTCTCCTCCCGCTAGGACCAAGGACTCCCTGGGAAACGATGCCAAGAGTCTAGCTCGCTGTTCTATTCTCAGAGCCACTGACAGGCACTTAATACAGGTTTGAATGAATGCGTCTCCTCGGACTTTAAAAATGCCCCACCGGGAGGTGCGTGGGGGATGTGGGGAGGCCGGGAACCATTTCCGCAGCTGCTGCAGGTCCCCTTCCAGGCCTTGTCATGGGGCGAAGAGGGCCTCCCTGTGCGGGGCCCGGGCCTGTGGGTCCCCTCCCCAGGTTTCTTGCCCGGTGCAGGCGGGAGGCGGGCAGGGAGCGGGTTCCACGCGCAGAGCCGCATGCGTGGCATGGCAGGCCCCGCAGTGCACTGGCCCCGCGGTCGGCCGCCCACGCCACCGCGGTTGTACCCCTGGACGCGGAGCAGTTATTCTAGAACTGTTTTCCCCTCCTGGCCCAGGAAGGCCAGATGGAAAACCCTCTTGCCCTTAATCAGTTCATTTCCTAGCGGGGCGCCCGCCCCTTCCACCGCCTGCCCCGGAAACCTCGCAGCCCCGCGCGCGCAGACCGTCGTCTCGCCGCGCCTCGCCCGCCACCGCCCCACGCAGGCAACGCCCCGCGGCGCCGCCCGTCCGTGACGTCAGGTGGCGAGACCGTGACGTCACACACGCGGTGGGGCGGTGCCGGGGCGACCAGCCACGCGTCGCCATGGTAACGGCGGGTGGGGCGGCGCGGGCGGCAGAAGCCCCACCCCTCAGGAGGATGTGGAAACCTCTCGACGCCTTTGCCGCCTGCGTACGTCCCCGCGGCCGCGCGCTTTCGGTGTTCCCCGCGCGCAGCGGTCCGGCGGTCCCGGAGCAGCCGCAAACCGCGGTGGCCGTCGCGCGGCGCTCCCCGCTGTCGCAAAGCGGCGCGAGTGACGCCCTGCCTGGCGTTGGCCCCTCCCCGCGCTGTGACGTCGGCGGCGCGCGCCCCCGGCGCCCTGGCCGCGGCTGCGCAGTGAGGCGCGTATGGCCGCCGCCCCCCCGCTGGCCGACGCTGGCGGCGTAAGGCGCGCGGGCCCCGGAGCGGGCGCGGCGGAGCGCGGCGAGCCCGGCGCTTCCCGCCCCGAACATGCGGAGGCCGGCCCAGGCGGCGCGGGAGCCGGAGCGGGGGCCCGAGCGGGCGCCGGAGCCGGAGCGCGAGCGGGCGCGAGGCCCGGAGCGGGGGTCCTCACCGCGCTGCTGAGCCCGGGCCGGCAGCCCAGACGCTACCCACGGGCCCGGCCACAGCGGAGCCAAGGTAACGAGGCGCGCGCCCGTCCCGGCCCCACACCCCCTGTGCCCGGCCCTCGGCGCCCCCGGTGACCCCCGGCGCCCCCGCCCCCACAGAGGGTCCATTGCCCCTTGCGTTCCGGACCCCATCGCCCACCACGTCTAACGGCCCTCCACGCTGAGCCCCACAATCAGGGCCCCACTGCCGCAACACCCCGCTGACCCTGCGCTTGGGACCCCAGCGCCCCCAGCTCCGCCGACGCCACGCTCAGGACCTCCAGACATACCTCCACGCTGATCTCCACACTCCCCCGCCCCAGGGACCCTCACACTCCAGACCCGGCCCCAGTGACCCCCACTCTGCACCCCGGTGACTGCCGTGCTCCAACTCTCCTGCCCTTTGCTGAGCCTTTAGCCCTCGCCGCACCTCCCGCTTTCTTCCCCCACCCGGTGCTCAAGCCCACCGCCCACTCACCCGTGCCCTTCACACCTCCCCACGTTCTGGTCTCGATGCCCCTGCCCACCTGGCCCCGTCGCTACCTCCTGCCGTGCCCCCCCTCCACACTTTGTGGTCCTGACGCTTTTGAGGGGGAGAGCAGGGGAGTGGTGGGGGGAGGAAGGGGTCCGATCCGCAGGGACCTGTTGCGGCACTGCCTGGGAACTCCCGGCTGGGCTCGCTGCCCCCTCCCCCTTCCGCTCTGGCCACCGGCTTTGTTTTCCGGAAACGCACGGATCTGGGAGGGAGGGTGAGATGTCTGAGCGGGGCCTGCGGTGGTCACGCCGATCCCCAGTCCCTGCGCGGCTCCTCTCTTCCAACTTTCTTTGGGGAAGACTTTCCTGCTGGGGGGCGTGGGGGCTGAGAGGGCATTCAGGGACTGTTGCGTCCTGAGCCAGAATGGCTTTGGGACAGCTGGTTCTTATTCCTGTGGCCTCCGGATGGCATTGTTTGCAGGAAACGGCCGGAGGGTTGTCTGTGTAGGTGGAGTCCAGCATCTTCTCCCTCGCTGCGCTCCACTGTGCGTCCCAGGGCTCTCCACACGTCCATCTGGTGGGGCTCTGCCTTCCAGGGTCTGCCTCTCCACCCCAGGACCGGCAGGAGCATCGTTGGTGTTTCCTGGGCGTGGGAGCTGAGCCGGAAGGTACAAAGGTTCCCGTCTTGGGGGAAAACCCAGTTATGCCGCCGAAAGGCGCTCGGATTAGGGAGGGGACTGAGGGGGCAGCTGGGGATGGAAGTACCCGGGCTACTCTGCCCTGCACAGCCCAGCCTGGCCTGGGGCGCCTCTGGGCAGAGGACAGACTTTGCCAGGGCCCCCAGGTTCGGAAGGGGGAAGTTTGCGGTTGTTACCGGTGGAGTTTGTTTTCTTTTCCCCTGCGTCTCCACCAGCAGAACAAAACGCTATGGGCTGGGCTGGGCCCGGCTGTGCCTACTGATGAGTTTCCCAGGCAGGCAGCCCCCGGGCGTGTGTGCAGGCACGCGCACGCTTGCCTTGACGTCTCCAGGGCCCAGAGTGTTTTGTTAAGCCCCCTGCAGTGAGCTCTGAGAGCCGCTCCTTCACAGATGGGAGGGGATGGGAGGCTTACATGCCGGGTAGCTGGGGTTGGGGTGGGGTCGCAGTGGGAGGGCCAGGTCCAGGGGCTGAGAGGCCAGCTGTGTGTCCTGGAGGACGTGCCGCAGGCAGGTAGGGTGAGATGTGGGAGGAGCTGGCTGTACTCCCTCCGCCCCCGTGGAGGCGAAACCCCGGTGGTCCTCTGAATTGACTGTGCCTGCTGTGCATTTGGACCTCCTTGTGTGTAAAGGGGCTTCCTGTCTGATTTCCCTCCTCTCCGGTTCCTCTAAAGGGGCTGCAGGACCAGCGCCTCGTTTCCCGGGCTCTGGGCAAGTCTGAGGCCATGCCGTTTGCAGGATGGCTCGCCGTGGTGCAGCACTTGGTGCAGACAGATTTTGTGGGATTGCTGACTTTGGTTTCTTTTCTTCTCCTCCTCCTCTTTAATGATATAGTCATTACTCTGGGCTACAAAGGAAGTAGGTGAGGGTTTTTAATTGAAAGTCTCCCTGTTGCTCATCCCAGGCTTAGGGGAAGCTAGTACGCCAGCCATTAATTTGGGATTTGATTTGGGGCAGTCCCGTGGTGTGGCAGTCGGGGGGCGGGTACTGTGTCTGTGGGGGGTCAGTGCACATCTGAGAGGCAGGCCCCCCACCAGACTCGTCTGCAGAGCCGCTGGGAGGGATGGAAGCTGAACTTGGGGACAGCCAGCATTGCCGGGGGCATCTGGAGAGGGGGATCCTGTTGCGGGTTTGGCTCTGTGTCTTTTCTGCGTCTCCACGGAGCGGCCCCAGACCCCCAGGGGCTCAGGGTCCATCAGGAGGGCAGATGGTGGCTGCAGGCAGCACTGTGGGTGCTTTTGGGGCCGAGTGCTGGGCACAGCCTGGCAGGGGCTACAGGCCTCGGGTGGCGGTGTTCAGGCCAGCCCACGGGGCTGTCTTTTCCCGAACCCGGAGGGGACACGGAGCCCATGTGAAGGAGGTCGTGGCCCGAGTCCCGGTGAGTGTACCGGGGGCGGCCACGGGCAGCCGTGGGCTTCGTCCTAGGTCAGCCTCGAGTCCTGTGTCCAGCTAGGGCTTGTGCTGGAATTCAGCTCTGGCATCAGGCGTGCCGGGTCCGCCTCTCTATCCCGCCATCTGCGGAGTGCTCCCCCAGCAGCCACGTGAGAGAAACTGTCGGTGCCGGCACGAAGCCTGGGGTAGGGAGGCTCCAGGTCTCGGGCTCTGCGTCGGCCTCTTCCTCATTCGGGAGCTCTCATGGGGCCTGAGCTGTGGGGCTTCCCGGGAGGTGGGTGGAGCATCCATTTTACAGATAAGGAAGTCGAGGCCTACCTGGCCTGCTTGGGTAGAGGGGAAGCTACATCTCCCAAGGGCTCACTCCCACGCCCGTGCTCCTCCGGTTGCCCCCCGTGCCAGTGGGAGCAGTGGCAGTGAGGGGTGGTGGCCCTGCAGCCAGAGGATGCGCCTCACCGTTCTCCTGTCCTCTGGGTGCCGGCTCTGGGTGCAGGTGACCGTGCCGCCCCGTGCTGGCCACGTGGATGCAGCTGTCTGCTGGGTTGGCCTGTCCAGGAGCTGGACTGGCCTGGCTGGGTGGGGCACCCCTTTGTTCTGCCTCTGCGAGGACTCAAAGTGGGGAGCCGGGACCACCAGAACAGCGTATCCGGCGCTCTGCGGGCAGCCACACAGCGGGCAGGGATGGGACGAGGGACAGGGCCTGCCTGGCTCCTGGCCTCCTCGAAAGCTCCCCTCTGGCAGGTGGGGCCCAGTGTGCCCCCTCCCCTGGGCCGGCCTGCCTGTGGTGGGGCAGGGACCTCTGGTACTCCAATATGGCCTCCTCCATTTCTGTCCCATCACCACCTACATCAGTAGTGAGGGCATAGGGCAAGGCAGGATGTACCCCAGGTGGCCAGCGTGAGCCGGCCATTCCCCAAGCTCCACGGCCCCTTTCTCCCCCTGCCCAGAGTCCCTGGCCGCCACCGCTGCTTGGGGCCCTGTGCCAGCCTGTGCCTGTAAGGTGCTGGGATGCCCTCTGCAGAGTCACTCTGAGCTCCATGCTGGGCCCACAGGGAGCTGCTTCTCAGGGTTCTCCGCAGCCCACCCCCCCAACTAAGGTGGCCCTGGCCCCGGAGCGCTGACTGCTCAGGGCACGTGCCTCAGGTGTGGGGCTGTCTCTTGCTGGGAGCCTCCAGTGTGTCTCCTGCACAGGGAATTGGGGCAGCCCCCTGCCCACCCTACCCAGGGCCCCTCCTGTCACCCCCAGCTGTGTTCCTGGGGTGGCCCAGAGGCTTCCTTGCACCATGACAGTTTCAGGTCACATCACTTTGAAAACAGCCAGCTCTGGCCAGATGCAGTGGCTCACGCCTGTGATCCCAACACTTTGGGAGGCTGAGGCGGGTGGATTACCTGAGGTCAGGAGTTCAAAACTAGCCTGGCAAACATGGCGAAACCCTTTCTCTACTAAAAATGCAAAGATTAGCTGGGTGTGGTGGTGCGCGCCTGTAATCCCAGCTACTCAGGAGGCTGAGGCAAGAGAATTGCTTGAACCTGGGAGGCAGAGGTTACAGTGAGCCGAGATTGCGCCACTGCACTCCAGCCTGGGCGATATCGAGACTTTGTCTCAAAAAAAAAAAAAAACGAGAAAACTGCCAGCTCTTCCTTGCTCCACATCTGCCGTACTTCCGGCTGCGCTGGGGTAGGGCCATGGCCTCCCTGGAGAGGGCGTGGGGCAAGGACCGAGGCTGTTGGTCATGAGTGGGACCGGCAGCCCAGGAGTCCCCTGCGGGAGTGGGACGGGAGATGCTGGTGTGGCTGTTGCAGCCCATGGGGCGTGACTCTTGTCACGGCAGACTCCATCCAGGTACAGAGGCCACACGCGTGCTCCAGAAAGAGGTGGGAAGCACGTCCCCCTGGGCCTGTCCCAGGAGGTCACTCCCACCCCACACCTGTGGGAGCAGCTGCCTCGCCTCTGTGTCTCAGGCCCCTCAGGAGCGGGTGCAGGTGAGGGCAGCAGGAGGAGAGATGGCCTGAGGCTTGGGGTCCCAGGCCAGGGCAGCCCCTCACTATTTATTGATTTGTTTTAGGTAGAGTCTCACTCTGTCTCCCGGGCTGGAGTGCAGTGGCGCGATCTCAGCTCACTGCAGCCTCCACCTCCCAACTTCACGAAATTCTCCCACATCAGCCTCCTCTGAGTAGCTGGGATCACAGGTGCCTGCCACTGTGCCCGGCTAGGTTTTGTATTTTTAGTGCAGACCGGGTTTTGCTGTGTTGTCCAAGCTGGTCTTGAACCCCTGGCCTCAGGTGGTGTTCCTGCCCGGGCCTCCCGAGTAGCTGGGAAGACAGGCATGAACCACCGCGCCCGACCTTGTCGCTACTTAAAAGGCAGAGAAAATCCAAGAGGCTTTTTTGTTGTCACCAGCAATTTTCCGTTGATGCATAATTGTCCTTGGAGCCTTGGAAAAAGTTGTGCTTAAAGGTAGTCCCTCCATTTTCCGGGAACTTCACCGTCCGGAATGAGGCATCCGAGTCCTGGTCCGACCGTTGGAGGGTCCCCACCCGTGAGGCTGACGACCAGGCCTCCTGCCTTGGCCGCGGTGCTGCGGGCGGTGTGGCCTGTGGGGCCCGGCCCCCTTAGGGGCCTTGTTTCCCAGGTGACCTCTGGATGCTCGTGTGGTCTGCGGTGACCTCTGCCCTTCCCCATCTGACCCCGTACCCAGGGAAGATGGCAGGTGTGCGAGGCCTTGTCCCGTCCCAGTGGCCGTGACCCTCGGGGTTTTCTGTTCCAGGGGTTCTGGGGCACTGGCCCAGGCTCTCCCTGCGGACACTTACTGGGATGGGAACCTGGGGCGGCGCACGGGGCCAGCGTGAGGACAGGGAGGGGACCTCGTCTGCCTCTGACTGGCTGGGTGTGCCTGTGAGTTCCTGAGGGTGAGGGTGTGGGGGGGATCCAGTCGGGGCCTGGATCCTGCAGGTGGGCTGGGCCAGGGTTTGTGGCTGCAGGGGTCATATGTGTGTGCCATCCCTCCAGTCAGGCCTGTAAGCCTCGGAGAGGGGCGTTGTGTGGCGCTCGATGCCTGAGTCCTGGGTGGGCCGTGGCTGTCCCAGGGGAAGTTGTCAGGGACCCCGCTGCCCCTTGGAGTTTGGCAGGGACCCTGGCGATGGGGGTGGTGGCGTCCTGGGGCCTCCAGGTGAGTCACCTCGCTTTCCTGGTGCCCAGGCGCTGGCCTGTGCTTCCTGTGGGCGCACAGCCCTGGTTCCTTCGAAGGCTTCATGGGCCGTGCCTCGGGGAGCTGGTTAAACGCTGGCCCTGTGAGCAGGAGGTGTGGCTTCGACGGGCGCCCGGCCCAGGGGTAAGACTTGATTCTGCTCCTGAGGGAGCCCTTCCCTGGCCCTGTCCTGCCTCCTCTTCCCCGGGGTGCTGGTTGGAGCTGGGCTCGCTGCTTTTCTTAAAATTAGTGACCCCGGCTGGGCTCTGTGGCTCACACCTGTAATCCCAGTGCTTTGGGAGGCCGAGGTGGGCCGATCACTAGGTCAGGAGATTGAGACCGTCCTGATCAACATGGTGAAATGTCGTTTCTATTAAAAATAAAATACGCCGGGTGCGGTGACTCAAGCCTGTAATCCCAGCACTTTGGGAGGCCGAGGAGGGTGGATCACGAGGTCAAGAGATCGAGACCATCCTGGTCAACATGGTGAAACCCCGTCTCTACTAAAAATACAGAAAATTAGCTGGGCATGGTGACGTGTGCCTGTAATCCCAGCTACTCGAGGCTGAAGCAGGAGAATTGCTTGAACCCAGGAGGCGGAGGTCGCAGTGAGCCGAGATCACGCCGTTGCACTCCAGCCTGGGTAACAAGAGCGAAACTCCGTCTCAAAAAAAAAAAGAAAAAAGAAAAGAAAAAAAAAAAAGACAACTCTTTGCCGGGCACGGTGGCTCAAGCCTGTAATCCCAGTACTTTGGGAGGCCGAGGCGGGCGGATCACAATGTCAAGAGATCAAGACCATCCTGGTCAACATGGGGAAATCCCGTCTCTTTTAAAAATACAAAAAATTAGCTGGACATGGTGGGGTGTGCCTGTAATCCCAGCTACTCAGGAGGCTGAGGCAGGAGAATTGCCTGAACCCAGGAGGTGGGGGCTGCGGTGAGCCCAGATCGCGCCATTGCACTCCAGCCTGGGTGACAAGAGCGAAACTCCGTCTCAAAAAAAAAAAAAAAAAACTGGAAAAGAAAAGAAAAATATTTTGCTGGGCGTGGTGGTGGGTGCCTGTAATCTCAGCTACTTGGGAGGCTGAGGCAGGAGAATCGCTGGGAGGTGGAGGTTGCAGTGAGCTGAGATGGCGCTGCTACACTCCAGCCTGGGAGGTAAGAGTGAGACCCGTCTCAGAAAATAACAGCCCCGTCACAGGGACGCAGCTCAGTTTTGTCTTACAGCTTTACTTGGGTTTGTCCTCAGAGCACGAACCACTATTTTGAGTGGAAACGTCCACGTTCGGGAGAATTGCTCGGCGTGTGCATGTGAGTGGTGTTTGCACAGCTGCCCCGTGAGCGGGACGGGTTAGGGCGCCAGCCCTCACGCGGCGGAGCACCCTCGAGCCCCGCAGCAGCTGCTGGCGACCGAGGCCTCGGGCAGACACAGTCCCTGCATGCGCCTGGAGTGCCGTGAGTGTCGGGCGCTGCGTCCTCACAGTGAGGAAGCCGGAGCCCAGGACGTGCTGAGGAGCGTGAGGAGCCCGCTTGCTCTTCCTGCGGTGCCCATGACGCCCATGGGAGCCTCTGTCCTCGTCGCTCTCACGTGGATGGCCGAGGTGCAGCAGGTGCGTCTTGCTGCCTCGGGCGGCAGAGCGGAAGGGCGGCAGGAGAGGCTGGCGTCCTCGGGAAACCCCTATTGAAGAAAATCCGCCTCTGAGTGGACCTGTCAGTTCACACCCGGCTTGGTCAAAGGTCCTCTGTGCAGCCACCACCTCCCCAGGGAGCCCGTCCTTATCGCAGTCCGCCCTCCACACCACCCTCTCCAGAACCTTCCTGTTTTCCCGAAGTGAAACGCCGTCCCCATGAAATGCTCGCTCCCCTGCCCCGAGTCCTTAGCACCCCATCCTACTTTCTGTTCCATCTTGGAGACCTAGACCGAGGGCTCTAGGGACCTCCTGGGGTGGAATCACAGGGGTGTGGCGTCTCTCACGGAGTGTGGCTCCTCAAGGTGCATCCGCCCGTGTCCGAGCCTCGCTCCTGTTCGTGGCTGAGTCAGTGCAGTGTGTGGATGGACACGCGCTTATTTACGTCGTGGATGTTTGCGTGGCGTCTGCGTGTCGGTTGCTATGAGCCTCTGTGTACAGTTCATGCATGTCCGTGTGCTTGTGGTTCTCTTGGGTGGACATCTAGTAGTGGAATCACTGGTCACATGGTGACTCCAGGTGTGGCCGTTTGAGGAGCCGCCAGCCACTATCCATAACACCTGCCGCGTTTGGGGACCACATCTCTGCACAGCGGCAACCACGCCCCTCCTCTTCTGGTGACCGGGTTCTTCTCATCCTTGGCCCCTTGGTGAGCAGCGGGTGCAGGGCTGGATGAGGGCTCCTGGGAGACGGTGAGGAACGTGGGCAGAGGCCAGTGTGCTGATGATGTGTGTGTTGGCAAACATTCCACGTCTGTGGCTGTGAGTGCTGCGCCTGCCCAGGTGACGGATGGCAAGATGCTGCCACGTGCTCAGCTCAACTTTTTTTTTCTTGAGACAGAGTCTTGCTCTGTCACCCAGGCTGGAGTGCAGTGGCACGATCTTGGTTCACTGCAGCCTCCACTTCCCAGGTTCAAGTGATTCTCCTGCCTCAGCCTCCTGAGTAGCTGGGATTACAGGTGCCTGCCACACGGCCAGCTCATTTTTTCTATCTTTAGTAGAAACAGAGTTTTACCATGTTTTGGCCAGGCTGGTCTTGAACTCCTGACCTCGGATGATTCTCCCGCCTCAGACTCCCAAAGTGTGTTCTTTTTTTTTTTTTTTTGAGACAGAGTCTCACTCTGTCGCCAGGTACCAGGCTGGAGTGTGGTGGCGAGATCTTGGCTCACTGTTGGCTCACTGTGACCTCCGCCTCCTGGGTTCAAGTGATTCTCCTGCCTCAGCCTCCCAAGTAGCTGGAACTACAGGTGCACGCCACCACACCCAGCTAATTTTTGTATTTTTAGTAGAGACGGGGTTTCACTATGTTGGCCAGGATGGTCTCGATCTCTTGACCTCGTGATCCACCCGCCTGGGCCTCCCAAAGTGCTGGGATTACAGATGTGAGCCACTGCGCCCGGCCTGTGTTTCTTTTAATAACAATATACTTGAAGATGATTTAAAAAAAACCCAATTCCTGAAGGGCCTTGATCAAAGTCGAGGTGAATACAGGCCTGACTCTGAGGGGCACGTATCTAGCAGGTGTCGCATGGTAGACAGGGCCTGGAGCTGAGTCTTGCAGGACTGGATGGAGGCCAGGGGATGGCGAAGACCTGGGCGGCTCCTCAGGACCAGGCCCTCTTGCCGGGGGCTCCCCAGGGAATGAAGCTGAACTCCACTGTGATCTCCCTGCTGCAGCCCTCATGGGGATCATCACAGAGGTAGGAGCCGGGGACCCATGTGACTTCCTTCAAGTGGAGGGAAACGGAGGTGGGACATCGCATGGTGGCTCCCACATGACGATGGCAAAAGGCTCTCCAGTCTGGGGGACAGAGCGAGACTCAGTCAAAAAAAAAAACAGCAGGCCGGGCGCGGTGGCTCAAGCCTGTAATCCCAGCACTTTGGGAGGCCGAGGCGGGTGGATCACGAGGTCAAGAGATCGAGACCATCATGGTCAACATGGTGAAACCCCGTCTCTACTAAAAATACTAAAAATTAGCTGGGCATGGTGGCGTGTGCCTGTAATCCCAGCTACTCAGGAGGCTGAGGCAGGAGAATTGCCTGAACCCAGGAGGCGGAGGTTGCGGTGAGCCGAGATCGCGCCATTGCACTCCAGCCTGGGCAACAAGAGCGAAACTCCGTCTCAAAAAAAAAAACAGCAAAGTAAACGTAGAAACGTGTCCACCCAGGTTTCTCATAGCTGTCCTGTCCGAGGTTACGCTTCTGGAAGGGCCAGTGTCCTCCAGACGCAGCAGGATTCCGATGGGAGGTCCCACCCGCCCCGGGGCCTGCCATGGAGCTCTCTTTCCTGCTGGGGTGTCTGACTGCCCATGTGCTCCCCTGCCTGTCTGTGGCAGCACCTGGGGCCGGCAGACCCCTGCCCCCTGAGAAGGCTGGGTCAGCTCTGTCCCGGGCCAGGATGCGGGAACCGGAGCCGAGGCTGCTGAGGCAGAGCAGGGTCCCATGGGGTCCTGTGCACCGTGGCGGCCTGGGTGGGGGTGCCCTCACTCGAAGGCCGTCTGTGTGATGGATTTGCTGCGAATACTTCCGCTTCGGTGTTGTTGGTAGCGTCTGAGGCCCTGGAGCCCATGGCAGCCTCGCCCCTGTTTGCATAGTCTGAGTTTTGGGAAAATCATTCCTCTGTGGAGAAGTAGCAGAGATGGCACCCCCCACCAAGGCCACCGGTGGTGTTTGCCCCGTGTGTCCAGCGCTGGGCGAGTGCCAGCTTTTTCCCGGAGTTTGCTCTGCCGTGACCCGTGGTCTCTGCCGTGACCAGGGTGCGGCTGACCTCATGTGGCACAGGGGTCCCTGTGCCCCCCGCTCCCCTTGCTGGGTCCAGTCCCAGCCGCCGTGCTGTGGTTCTCCCGTGTCCTTTATCCCCAATCCCTTTTTTAAAAAATTCATTTATTTAAAGATGGGGTTTCACCATGTTGGTCAGGCTGGTCTTGAACTCCCGACCTCAGGTGATCTGCCCGCCTTGGCCTCCAAAGTGCTTGGATTACAGGCGTGAGCCACCACGCCCGGGCAATCCTCAGTCCAATCCTTGCCTTTGCTCATGGTGACCTGGGACGGCTCATTCGCCTTCTCGGAGGCCGGCTCTCCTCCTGGGTGTGTCTCTTCTGGCTCTGTCGGCGCAGTGAGGTTGGCGTCTGCCGTGGACGGGGCCTTCTTACAGTGATGCGGGGCGCCCTTGGCTCGGTGTCCCTCCTTTCCCTGATTCGTGGGTGTTTCTCTTTCATGCCTGATGCATTAAACCCACTGCCGGCCTAGGGCAGCCTGAGGTTGGAAGGGGCTGGGTGAGGATCAGCATCACCCTCCATTTTGGAGGGTTCCGGTCCATCTGCCCTGAGTCACCGGCTCGGCCTGGCCCCGCTCTACTGTGGCCCTGGGACTAGAGGTGGTATGCAGAAACTGCCCTGGTGTTGTAGCTCGTGGGTCCTAGGGTGCGGCAACCCCTCATTCTCTTTCCTTGGGGTGCAGATGAATCGGGGTGGTGGGGGACTGAGCCCATAGTGGACAGTCCCTGCAGCCCCAGGTCAGAGGGCATGGCCCTCCTGGATAAAGCGGCCTAGAAGGGTCCACGGCTGGGTGCATGTGAGTCTAGGCGCCTATGAGGGCACTGGGGGCGGTGGGGGCGGCCTGTGCCTGCCAGCCCGGCGGGGTCCCCGCCTCCCCTTAGCTTCCCCCCAGCTCTGGGCTGAGGCTGTGTGGTGATGTCAGCTAGGGTCTGTGACATCACTCAGTGGAGACAGTCAGAGAAGGGGCCTCCCGGGGCCCTCCCCGGGGACCTGGCCTGGCTGCAGACCACATGGAGGACCCCGTGAAGAACAGGGGAGGTAGCGGCCTGAGGCCAGGGCTGGGGAAGGGGGCGGCTCTGGCCCCAGAGCCTCGTGGTGAGAGCAGCTCCTTGTGGGGATGGCTCCCATCCCCTTTTTGGTGCCTGGGAGCCGTCCTTGGCATGCGACCCTGAGCTGGCATTGGCTGTGTGGGTTGGGTGGGGGCTGGGTGAGGATCAACATCCCCTCCTTTCACCCCAGGATTGTTGCTTTTCACTGTGGGCCTTGGGTGTGGCAGGACAGGCCCCCAACCCAGCGTGGGCGCGGTGGGTGCCTGGCCCTCGTGTCTCCACTTCTCTCCAGGCCCTTCTCTGGCTTCCCTCGGGCAGCCCCTGGGTGTTGGCACATCCCAGGAGATGCCAGGGTCTTCCTCCTTGGTGACGGACGGGTGCTGAGTCCTGACTGAGTGGCAGCTGCCTCCAGGGAGTGCCCTGAACGGTGTGCGCCCTCGGAAGCTGCTGAGTCTTGGGTCGGTGGTTCTTGTTGGTGTGGGTAGGGGAGCTGGCACCTGCTCCCTGCCTGTGGAACACAGGGTGGCAGCCCTGCCTGTCCTCCGACTGCTCCCCTGCTGCTGTGAGGGCTGAGGGCGCAGGCGGTGACTGTCGGGGCCCCTCCTGAAGTGGGGAACGCGGACTGGAGACTACCATGGGCAGCAGGTATGCAAACAGCATTCCCGTTTTGCACTGAGCTGCCCCCCACTGAGGCTGAGGCAAGGTTCCGCAGCATGGGCGTGTGCCCAGGCGAGGCTCCACAGGTCCGGTGTGTGGCAGGTGAGGCTCCTCAGGGCGGGGGTGACTCCTAGGGCCAGGGCGTCTCCGGCTTGTGTGGGGATGTGGCTGGGCCCTCGCTCTCCTCAGAGAGGCTGCGGTGAGGTGCTTGGAGGTGCAGCCTGCCCTGGGTGTGCAGGGAGTGCTCAGTGGACCCCTGTGCCCCTGCTGTCCCCAGGGCTGTCTGTGGAGCTGTTGAGGTGGTGCAGCCCGGCCCTGGGCTCCGCCTGGGGAGCTGGGGTGTGTGGTGTGTGTGTGTGTGTGTGTGTGTGTGTGTGTGTGTGTGTATCTGGGGAGCTGGGGGGCTGTGTGTGTGTGTGATGTGTATGTGGTGTGTGTGTCTGGGGAGCTGGGGTATGTGTGGGTGTGGTGGGTGTGTGTGTGGTGTGTGTGTGTGATGTGTGTTTCTGTGTCTGGGGAGCTGGGTGTGTGTGTGTGTGTGGTGTGTGTGTTTGGGGAGATGGAGTGTGTGTGTGTGTCTGGGGAGCTGGGGTGTGTGTGTGGTGTGTGTGTGTCTGGGGAGCTGGGGTGTGTGTGTGGTATGTGTGTGTCTGGGGAGCTGGGGTGTGTGTGTGTGGTGTGTATGTTTGGGGAGCTGGGATATATGTGTGGGGAGCTGGGGTGTGTGTGGGGTGTGTGTGTGTGTGTGTCTGGGGAGCTGGTGTGTGTGTGGTGTGTGTGTGGTATGTGTTTGGGGAGCTGGGGTGTGTGTGTGTCTGGGGAGCTGGAGTGTGTGTGTGTCTGGGGAGCTGGGGTGTGTGTGGTTGTGTGTGGTGTGTGTTTGGGGAGCTGGGGTGTGTGTGTGTCTGGGCAGCTGGGGTGTGTGTGGTTGTGTGTGGTGTGTGTTTGGGGAGCTGGGGTGTGTGTGTGTCTGGGGAGCTGGGGTGTGTGTGGTTGTGTGTGGTGTGTGTTTGGGGAGCTGGGGTGTGTGGGGAGCTGGGGTGTGTGTGTGGTGTGTGTGTGTGTGTGTGTCTGGGGAGCTGGTGTGTGTGTGTGTGTGGTATGTGTTTGGGGAGCTGGGGGGTGTGTGTGTGTGTCTGGGAAGCTGGGATGTGTGTGTGGGGGGGAGCTGGGGTGTGTGTGTGTATGTGTGTGTTGTGTGTGGGGAGCTGGGGTGTGTGTGGGGAGCTGGGGTGTGTGTGTGGTGTGTGTGTTTGGGGAGCTGGGGTGTGTGTGTGTGTGTTGTGTGTATCTGTGGAGCTGAGGTGTGTGTGTGGTGTGTGGGGAGCTGGGGTGTGTGTGTGTGAGGGAGCTGGGGTGTGTGTGGGGAGCTGGGGGGTGTGTGTGTGTGGTGTGTGGGGAGCTGGGGGGGGTGTGTCTGGAGAGCTGGGGTGTGTGTGTGGTGTGTGTGTTTGGGGAGCTGGGGGGTGTGTGTGTGTGGTGTGTGTATCTGTGGAGCTGTGTGTGTGTGTGGTATGTGTTTGGGGAGCTGGGGTGTGTGTGTGTGTCTGGGAAGCTGGGATGTGTGGGGGGGGGGAGCTGGGGTGTGTGTGTGTATGTGTGTGTTGTGTGTGGGGAGCTGGGGTGTGTGTGGGGAGCTGGGGTGTGTGTGTGGTGTGTGTGTTTGGGGAGCTGGGGTGTGTGTGTGTGTGTTGTGTGTATCTGTGGAGCTGAGGTGTGTGTGTGTGTGGTGTGTGGGGAGCTGGGGTGTGTGTGTGTGAGGGAGCTGGGGTGTGTGTGGGGAGCTGGGGTGTGTGTGTGTGTGGTGTGTGAGGAGCTGGGGGGTGTGTGTCTGGAGAGCTGGGGTGTGTGTGTGGTGTGTGTGTTTGGGGAGCTGGGGGGGGTGTGTGTGTGGTGTGTGTATCTGTGGAGCTGTGTGTGTGTGTGTGTGTGTGTGTGTGTGTGGTGTGTTTGGGGAGCTGGGGTGTGTGTGTGGGAGTGGGGAGCTGGGGTGTGTGTGTGTGTATGTGTGTGTGGTGTGTGTGTGTGGCTTTCCAGGCCTCAGTGCTCAGCTCTGCAGGGCATAGCGGTGTTCACTCCTGGCCCTGAAGCTGGGGAGAGGGAAGCCAGTGCTCATCCAGGGGGGCCCAGAGAGAAAGTGGCAGCCCCGACCTGCCTGGGCCACGACACCTGGGCAGCTGTGTCCGAGCAGCAGGGCCCCGGGCGGGCCTTCATCCCAGCTTCCACATGGTTGGGCCCGTGAGTGCAGGGCCTGCGCCTTTCCCATCCCCACGACTCCAGGTCGCGGGGCAGGGGTACCAGGGCCTGAGAGGTGACGGTCACCACCTGGATGAGAACCTGGGGTGGCACAGGGAGGCTTCCGGAGGGTGCCAGGAGCAGTGGGGCCCTGGGCCCAGCAGAGCAGCGCCCACTTTAGTGGTTTTGAGGGCTGGTGCTTGTCTGCAGTTGCAGCCGGGATGGGGATTTGGTGCGTTTTCTCTGCAAAAGCCAGAGCGTGCTTAGCTGAGTCAAGGCCAGGCAGCGTGGGGGCGCGAGCCCGTGGTCCCAGCTGCTCAGGAGGCTGAGGCGGGAGATGGCTTGAACCCGGGAGGCGTCGGTTGCATGCAGCCAGCCGAGGTCTTGCCACTGCACTCGAGCCAGGGCGACGGAGCTCGACGCTGTCTCAAAAAACAGAAGACCACGTGTCGTGGCCCATGAGGCCACTCTTTGTTCTCAGACCCTGGGGTTGTGGCACAGCGTTCACCCTTGTGGCATGGGCTCTTCTGGGAGTTGGCGTAGACCTTCTGCAGAGGGGCTGGGTGGGGCATGCTCAGTCCCACCTGGTGGCCTGAGTGTTGGGGCTGGGGGAGTGTTGAAGGAGGCGGCTGTTATGGACGCGACAGCAGGAGACGCGGGGCCACAGGTCATGCCTGCATCTGTGGGGGCTGTGAAGAGACGGCCATCTAGAAGCTTCTGCCTTTGAGCCAGGAGGATGCCCCAGAGAGCCTGAGGAGGCTCCTTCCGGAATTTAGGGCTGTCTCAGCCTCGCTGAACCTGACCGGGTGGCGGTTGAGTTAACTCCGGCCATTAATTACACATCACTTATGATGGTTTCTTTGGGTTTTTTTTGAGGCGGAGTCTCCTGTCACCAGGTTGGAGTGCAGTGGCTCAGTCTCCGCCCAGGCTGGAGTGCGGTGGCTCAGTCCCCGCTCACTGCAGTCTCCATCTCTCAGGTTCAAGCGATTCTCCTGCCTCAGCCTCCTGAGTAGCTGAGACTACAGGCACACGCCACTGTGTCCGGCTAATTTTTAGACTTTTAGTAGAGATGGGGTTTCACCATGTTGGCTAGGATGGTCTCGAGCTCCTGCCCTCAGGTGATGGCCCGCCTTGGCTGCTCAGTGCTGGGATTACAGGCAGGAGCCACCACGCCCGGCCATCACTCATGGTTACTTAGTGGGAGAATCTGACCAAGCCAGCAGTCCACCTGGAGGAGAGGAGGAGGGAGCAGCCGGGGGATTCTGCAGGGGCAGGGCTGGTGGTGGTGCCTGCGTTTGTCGGTCTCACCCTGATGCGTCATTTAAACAGTGCCACCTGGAGCCTGGGGGTGGGATTGGGCCCCGGGGGTCCCCCAGCTGTGGAGAGGGCGAGCCAGGGACAGCTAGGAAGAGAAGCAACCTGGACGAAGACCCCTCTTCCCTCCAGGCAGCCCTGCAGACTTGAGGGCCACCGCGTCAGGAGGGACAGCCTAGATGGAGA